AGCATTGACAAGGCTAAAATGCTCCCTTTACCCAATATGTGGATGACAAAAAACATCTACTAAGCTCGTACTTTTTTCCGCTTGCCTTCGTGCGTGTGTGCTAATCTCGTTTCAGCTTCTCAGGCCGGCTGAAGGGAGAAATTTGGAGACCGGTAGCAAAGCGAGAGAGCCACAGCTGACCGCAGTGACGTTCACCTATACCCACCTCGCCGCGGGGGGAATGAGCCATCAATGGGGCCTCAGTGTGAGTGTGTGTGGGAGGGGGGCCGGGGGGGGGGGAAGAGCAAACTACGCTTGTCCGTTGCAGCTGTAGCCACGAGCTTTCAAGAGACAGACATTTTTACTCCTGACATTTCTCGTTAAAAAATACCCCCTGTAAGGTTTTTTATGCATTGCAATGTTACACGTACCTTATTTAAAGGGGTTTACTTAATGATCTTAATACAGGAGATGTTTGGCAGACATATTGGCAGATCGTGTAAGCGCTGTCTCTGTTTCTTTACCTTAAAAAGAACGGTTCATACCTACACGCAGGGCCGGATCTTCTACGTTAGCTCTAGATCTATAGAACCATTTAAGACACTTTTTGTTCTCCTGGACGCCTGGCGCACGTTGCAGTTTGTCATAATCTGCAACCTCAGCCCGAGATCCGACACACTGCACTTTTACAACCAGGGAAACTAATTTAACGTGTTTTGTTTTGTTATATTTGTTGGAAGCTTGATTGTCTTAGGCTGATCACTTCATGTGGGCCGATGAAATAATTGGACGGCCCGCCTGCCCCGTCTACTTAGCAATGATGCGAGGGGTGTTACGGCCGGTCACGGTGGACCCAGGAGCTGACACGGAGACCGCCGAGTGTGTGAAGGAATGGCTTTTTAATGGGTAATGGTTGCCAGGGGAAAAGGAGTCAGATGATATCTGTAGAACAGGCTGGCTGAGGAACGGGCTGGTGACTTGTAGAGCGGGGGGGGGTTTGATTGCCTGATTGTAGGCAGGGGGGGCCCAGGTGATACAAGAGACACACACAGAGAAACAAAAAAAAGCAAAGGACCTCAGACTAGATTCTTTCTTGATTTGGATACTTTTACAACACAGCTTGCTGGTTCATCCCAGTTTTACTCCACCAGCTTTGAAGATTTGGATTCGAACGAACCACGGAAATTGTATTACCCGGAATGATAACTGCTCCGCTGTGCATATTACAGAGAATATTTCAATTTTTAAAATCTCATTTCAAAGCTGCTCTGCCCATTAAATCACGGCGCTGCGGATCTCTAACCAGGCGACATGTTGACCTGGTTGCTACGCCTCTCTTATGCTGACCCGCTGACAGCCTCAATTAAGCGGCTCATTTTGCTCCTAGCAAAGCTCCAGCTTGCGCCGCCAACCCCCTCACACACACACACACACACACACACACTGTCATTTAACCCTAAATCAAATGACAACTTTGACCAAGTGCGTCAAAAAAGTTGAACAAAAGTGATCTCATGATTTTCACATGAACGGTTCTGATTGAACGTCTCGACTCTCGCTAACAGCTCTGAGCTCGTGGGACCGTCAGGAAATCAGGAATTGGGAACATTTATTGCCAAAATATGACATGGCGGTAGGTGCATAACATCAGAGTAGGCGGCGACTGAGTTTTCCAGAGAGGAGACCCCTAAAAGGGTTCAAAGACGGTACGTGGACGAGGACTTGCATAACGTGTCCAGTCGTCACTTCGATTTGTTCCGGTCCACGGGGCTTTTCACTTCGCCACATCCCACCGAGGAGCAGAGATGCCTGCGTGGACTCACTCGCAAACAAAGGGAAACGCGAAGCATGTCAAATACTAACAGAGGACTTTCATCTCAGACTGCAGTTTGTTAGAATGAACACTTAATTCCTGCACACTTTTCAAGAATCCTTTCTTCTCCTTCAGCCTCCTTGGCTCGCTAACTTAGCTACCAGGACATGTTCTGTCAGCTCAGCTCAGCCAACAGTGGGCACAAAGAAGCAAATATCTCTCTGCTTCGTCATGCAGTCACACAAGGTCGGGTTATTAAGGTCACACTATGAAGGGAGGCGAATAAGACGACAGAGGGAGACACGGAGGGATTTGCTGTACCTTCTTCCAGGGGCTGGTGAACCATGTGCCATGGGACGCAATAAAAAACACACAACGGGCTCGGCGAGAGCCCGGAGACACTCCGACACACACTGACACATGCAAGGAAGGCTGCAAACCGCCCGGCCGGGGTCGGACGTGTGGAGGGGGAGCAACGTTTAGTAGCGAATTGTCCCGGTCTCGCATTAGAAGCAAGGAAGCAGAAAGCTTCATTTAAAACGATGTCCATGTGCAGGGATATGGCTCAAATGCACCACTGTTGATGGACTACCAAATTATGTAGGTTCTTGTTAATTTGCAATGAATAAATGAGATATAAATGACACAGCAAACACAATTCAGTATGAGCCTTCAGACGCTGAGCTTGCTGATGGACTCTTGCATCCATTAAAGCCCATAAGAAGAGATTTATTGTCACTGGGTAGGTTGAAAACCAAAAGACTGTCCTGCAAAAGGTTGGAAGGGTTCCACGGCAGTGTTCCCTTGCTGTGTTAGTTACTGTGCAATTCCACTCTCTATTTTGTCCACACAGGAAATATGAAGCTGCAGGCAGAAGCCAATTAGCTAGAAAAAATATTTCCTCAGTGTCAAAAAGCAATCGAATCTTTTAAAGCTTTCATTTCTATAGAGAATTACCAGATTAACCAGTTTTAATATGTTAGTTGGTGCTGGTAGGTGGATTTTGTTGCCGCGAGGGCGGCGAGCGGTTTCACCAAGGCCGATCGAGTCTGTCACCTGATACCACTCGGCCCAAAGTAGCTTTTTACATTCCATTCTGTTATTGAGGAGGATGGTTTCTTTCTTATCAGATAAATCCTCTTTCTAGTCCAAACATCTGGATAATCAAAAAAGGTTCTTTATGCCATATCATCACGATAGTGTAGCACTACTGGCTTGTACATTTGGAAGGTCGCTATAAGGTGCTGGTTGTTTTATTGACAGTTTAGTCCTTTTGGTTTCATGCACCACGGAGCAACTTTTAGAAGGCCCTTCTGCAAGGCTCCATCCAGACGTCTTTGTACATTCACGGCTTCCACCTGTTTCCAGAATTTGTGCTGAGCTGAGGCGACTTGCAGCTGCTATTTGTAGCTTCGTAATTAACATACAGACGGAGAGAAGTATAAATCTCCTAATCTAACTCTCCGACAGGGAGCAAATGAGCCTATATCCCCAAAATGTCAAACTACCACATTTAATTGCTCAAAGAAGTCACGCGCGTGTTCACGTACAGCTTTGCTGCATTTTTTTTGTTTTTTTTTTCAAATTTGAAAAGTATGCCAAGCGTATCGCAAAGATTCAGAAGTAAAGTGAAAAACAGAGAGTGAGCCTTGAAGCGAGGGGACAATCCCCTGAGATCTCTGTGAGAAAAGAAAGAGGTGGGTGATGGAGAAAACGCAGGCAGAAGAGGAGGGAGAGAGGAAAAGAGTTTGCCTGCAGCCTCGGCACAGAGGAGGATCAAAGGTTTGTGCTCTGCATCTCAATGGACATCCGCTCTCCAATACTGATGAGCCATTCACATCTTATGGGTAAACAAGTGGCCATCGCGTGGAAATTAACGGACGTCGCTCGCCCATGTCGCCTCATTAAGGACTTTTACTACTATGTTGTCTCATCGTCATGGTAAATTCATCAGATCTGCTATATTTGAACATTTTCCCTTGTAAAAGGATGGCGGATCTGAAAGCCAGTCTCATTTTTGTGTCAAATTGTACGTTACTTTAAAGCATTTCAGAGTGACGATTAATACGGTCGTCGCATTGAAAGCAGGATTTTAATGCCCATGAGAGGACTTTACTCTGCCTTTTATAACCACAGCTGTGTGTTGTGCACACACCCTTTTTGTGCTACTTAATGCAAACCAACGCGCTATTTAAGCTGCAAGGAGCTTTAGAAACGCGGTGCAAAGCGTGAGATCATCTCGTATTCTGCACGCTAGCCGGCAAACTAAGCATTACTTAAGCTAAACAGGCCTTCAAAAATAAAACATCTGTAATAGAACAAGCTGTTTGTTCCAGTTATTGTTTAAGAGCGTGAGCGGGGTCTCAGAATTCACATCTACCCTTTGTGGCGGAAATAATGGTGCAAAAACCCATTAGTATTCAACAGCATTGTTACAGCAGACAATGACAATCATTTCACTTAAATGGAGGAAAGTTACGAGAAATGGATTATAAAGCAAAAGCCAGTTTCTGTTGAGGAATACATGAAAGTAAACCATATTGTGTCCAGCTTTTGAGCAACCGTCCAGTGTGTCCAGCGATATATTAAAGGAAGAATATGAAAAAAAGCTGGTATTTTATGAATACAAGGGGCAATTCAGTGTGTTTTCCACAACGCCGTCCCGCAAATGTCTCTGAATAAAAGCCTCAGGAAGACGCTGGAGGCCTTTTTTTAAGACAATTTGAGTTTCCTTGTCTGTGACATGTTCTACAGATACGCACATGGAACACTGCAGTTAAGTTTGCTGGAATGGTGGTGATTCACTCTCAAAAGATAACCTTCAACCTTTTGACGTGGCGCGGATAAAACAGCAAACTGCTACGTCAACCATCAGAGGATTTGTCCCAGATTATGGAGAGTCATTACGGTAATGCTCTCTTTGTCTACACCATCTTATGTGGGTATCCTCTATGCATGTGGTTGTAAAGTGTAAGCTACCCACTCATCCGGCAGAACAAGGAGAATCTGCGGTGCCGCAAAGGCTTCTCTTCCCCGGTTATGAATCTTTCATGTGGAGGATAAACATAGATCCAACATGAACGGATAAAGATGTGTTTTCGTATTGTTCGTGGGTGTTTTGGGTTTCAATAACTTGCCCTGCTAATCCGGTGACACAAAAGCAAAGAATTCCTTTACTGTTTTGTAAAAAGTCTCACCGTCAGCGGACGACAATAGCTTGAACAATTTTAATCGTAAATAAGACAAAAGGCCGTGTTCATTTCACACTGAATTTAGAATAAATCGAGAACAAATAAAAAAAAAATCAACTATTAAATAAAATGAACAGATTCAGTTCATGAGAGTGCTACTAGAATAAAGACCCGTGTCATGTCCACATTCGTGTTTCTAATGCTGTAACCTTCCTGCGTGTATCCTCCAAGCACCAACGGTTTTTAACATTTTGACATTATCTCTCATTAGTTTGTGTTTTTCTGTCACAGATGGTTGTAAATCCTCTGGTGAGACACTCACCACCTCCAGTGGGATTCTGTTCCTCTAACTCGAGAGCCTATTAATTGTTTGCAATTATCCATTGCGAGCACGGCATCTGTCAGAAGTATCTCTCCTCTTCCCGCATGGATAGAAATGCCATGTTGGTAAAGGTTGACTGCCACATTCGCTGTTTATTGAACAGTAGAGTCTGAATTTCCCATCACAGGTTTAAAAGAAGCACGTCGGCCTTGTCCCAACCCCACCTGATTTCCATCCCATGATTTTTGAAGAGAACAACTTGCATACAGGTAAAGGTCATGAAGACAGGGCCTCGTATTAGGTTCTATTGATGAAATAAAACAAAATGAGACATTTGTAAACTAGCTTGTTTGATTACTCGGTGTTTAAAGTGTGCTGTTCTGTGACAATGAGGGAATCGTCCGCTGTTCCCTCGGTGCGTTCAAAATCTTTAGTGCAAATTTCAAGAAACAAAAGTACAGAAACAAAAAACAGAAATCATAAGGCAACATTTATAAATATATCAAAAATAGTCATTAGAGAACTATCTTTGTTACAAAAATGGTACAAAAGCTTTGTCCTGAACCAGTGAGAGGGACATGTTTTTCAGTTCCTCGACTGATTTCACAGCCTTGTATCCCAGCTGGTGAAGTACTTTTTGACAAACACTCTGCGTGTACTCTACCATGTCGTAAGACAGTTTCAAGCGCCAACTCTCGGCATTAGCCGCCGAGTCCCTCACTGTACCAAACTTGTGTTTGGCTGAGGGCTCACTGCTCCCCCGGGTGTTTGCGTGTATCCACTCTTCCACGTTTTTATCCAAAGGCAGCCCCAGATAGTCGTACATCTCTTTTGTCTTGAGGAGCGGATTCCTGGCCAGATCCTCATAACGCACCAACATGTATTTCCCTTTCAGCCAGTAGGGATGGCCGAGACCGGTCGATACGGAACTGAGGAAGTCTTCACAGACGACCGTGAGCTGACTCAAGTCTAGGTTGTAGGGCCGCCGCCCCGTGGCCCTCCAAATGCGCCACAGACGATACGTATCCCTGAAGGTCTCGATCCGCGACGACAAGATGCCGCGCGGGTCTCTGACCAGCTGAATCACCTTGATGTTCAGCCGCGGGTCCTCCACCAGAGCGCGCAGATCTCCGATCTCCGGCACCCGGACGATTTTGATTGCCACGTGTCTCCTCTCGCGGCACGCCTCCGTCGCCGAGGTCATGTTCAGGGCCGCGCACTTCTTCACGCAGTCCCCTTCTTCGACGTTGACATCGGCGGGGCCGAAGGCGTCGCACACGGGCTGCTGGCACAGCGCTCGGCTGGCGCCGCGCCGGAACAGTTTGTCCGTGGTGTGGTTGGCGGGCGTCGGTTTGATGTAGCTCTCCAGGAAGTAGAGGTCGCAACCGTACAGGCTGCGCAGGAGGTCCCGGCTGGCGCCCAGCATCACGCGGCGGTCGGCCGCGTTGCGGCTGTGCGACAGGCGCGGGATCAGCGTGGTCTGGACGTGGTAAAGGGGCTCGAACAGGTAGAACACCTCCTGGTGCTGGTTGAGCAGCTGGCCGACGAAGGAGGAGCCGCTCCGGGTGGTGGCCAGCACCAGGATGTGCGTTTTGCGGGTGGCGTTGACGGAGAAGTAAGGGTAGTCGTCGCAGCCGGCCGCTCCCCGCTCAAAGGGGGGCTCGGTCTCCTGGCCCCCGAGACCACAGTTCTGGGGGCTGGGCAAAGGGCACAGCTGGAAAGGCTTGGAGGTGAGAGTCCGGATGGCCGTGTACTGGATGGCGATGGAGGCCAAGGCCAGCAGAATCACTGCCTTCCAGGAACATTGCATGGCTGAACCGCTTCATTTAGACAAAGAGGTCCATGCCAGCTTCACCCTGCAAACAAGTCGACAGGTGTCTGTTTTATTCTGCGAAATGAGATGACATTTTTTTTATTTCATTAGGCTTTCGGTTCTAACGTTACGTGAATATTTTTTCTAGATGCTTCTGCCGAGACAGACGTGATTCTCTTCCCGCCCTCCAATTGTGGATATTACATATCTGACAGTGCAATTGGACAAATGGAGTGGACAGTGGACAGAGGAGAACGCTACAATGACATCTCATTTGAATATGCCCATTAAGAGTGGGACCACTTGAATTGTGATTGATTTTTGGATAGAGGGTGAGTCAGTGTTATTTATAAGAGGGCTATAATTTATTTATGATTGTCGGGACAAAAGATTTTCAATCACATTTGCAGTAACTTTGAAAGCAAGGTTGACGTGGTACAGAAGAAAATAGAACAAGACTTCTTAATAGAGATTTCTGTGGCCACGAGTCCTGTGAATTAATCAGTTCATTTGTCGGCCTTTGCTCCTTCATTTGCTCCTACTTCATTTTTGAAGAAGGAGACAGATAAAGAGGAGAGTTCTGACCTCGAACTTATGGTTCACATCCAATCAGCTGACTCTGGTAAAGCAAAGACACTAAACAGGCCGTATTTAGGCACTAAAAATGAAACTTTTGCATGTTTTTATACAGCTTTTCTGCAAATTTTTCAAATCAAATATTCAGGTTGTCTGTCTGTAGCATTGTGGGTAAGAAATTACTTATATAATCATTATCATGGACATAATACTTTAAGTACACTATACTACAGACTGCTGCAGTAAAAACCAATGCATCCAACCTGGTTTTCTGTCTCCTCCGGCATCAGTCTTAATTTAATTCAAGGACCCTGTTCGGCCTGATTGGAGAGTCTCAGCATTGTGCTGCATCCCACTTGTTCATCAGGGAGAAGAAAAGACCGGCCAAAGGAAGGTAAACAATAGTTTAAAGCTTCACCGCCAATGTCACGTCAAGGGGAAATGATGCTTTACGTGTAGAATCAGATAAATAACCTGTCCCATTCAGAGTGATATATTTCATATTACTCAAAAAACACTTGAGCGTCACATACCGGTCACCTCGATGCATGGAGCTCGGATGGTGTAAGTGGAATAAAAGGCTGTCCATCTTCACTCCAGAAGCCATGCAGAAGACCTGCAAAGGTCCAAAAAGAAATGATGCATCAGGAGATATATCTTCTGACCCCGAGCAGCGTGAAGGAAGGCTCCTGTTAATATATATATATTTTTTTAAATGAAAAGATAAATAAAAATCCTCCCACTGTGTTTTTCGTTGAGGAACTGACGCGCGCGAGGGTTTTCTCTACAACACAAAATACTGGAAGCAACTCAAGAGAGCGTCGCGGCTTCTCGTGCACATTTTTTGAGGGAAACGGGATAAAAAAAATGCCCACCGTACTGCAGCGGGGGCGCGATATGCTCCCTTGACAAGACATCTTTCCGCGATGCAGACGTCCTCCCCGCTCACCGCGACGAGACACCGCGGCGCACGTGAACGCACCAGCCGCAAGTGTTTCAACAATTCGTTAAAAAAAAAAAAAAACCACATAGATCTGACGATGGAGCACAGTGAGAGGATGGAGTGACAACGCGCCGACTCTCTTATACCTGGTTGGTAGTTGAATTATTCTCATGGTGCGCCGCTCGTCCACGAATCACTGCTGTTGTTTTCCTTTTTGTCCTCAAACGTTTCCCACCTCTCGGGGTTGGAGAGAATAAATGCGCCTGGCGGAGCCGTAATATTCTCCCGTGTGACGGTGGGGAGGACGAGTCGCTTTCGCTTTGAATGGAACAGTCGGCGTCGGATGCACAGAGACAATTGGGGATATTTTTTAACCAAAAAAGAAAGAAAGAAAACAAAAAGTGTTGGAGGAAAGCTGGAGCGGCTCCGTTACCGCGAAGCAGCCGCTCGGCGAGGAGAGAAAAACGGGCGACGGCGGAGCTCCTCCGCGGATGATGCGAGGAGGCTGAGAGTGTGTGAGGTACACAAGGAGCGACTGTCTGGACCACCCTAGGCCCCTCCCCCTTCCCACCTGCCCCCCCCCCACCCCCCCTCTCTATCTCACACGCACGAACATCATCCTCTTCAGTCTCCTGCCCCCCACAGCACACACTCACAGACCCCCCCCCCTGCTTTTTATTGAATAACCGTGCAAATGTTTTATAGTTTTTTTTTCGTGAAATCAGTGCTAGTTTGTATCTATTTTTATATGATCTATTTGACACTATATCCTGCATAATGTCCCACTTGTCTAATTCTATAACACGTATTTTGTATGAGATTTTCAATGGGATATTAATGTTCGTTTTTTAACTGTGAACTCGTCACCGGCTGTACAGCCTCGAGCTCTGTGATTCTGCAGAGCACCGACACAAGAGAGGATGGGCAGATAATAAAGGGATAATAATAAAAACAGGAAAGCTGGAGTGTGAAGTGCTCGCGCTGTTTGAGCCCACGCTGAAAATAAGCTTTAGAGAATGGCTGAAGATACATGTCGCCTTTCAACGTTCGTATAAATTATGTTTAGTGCCACATTATAATAAGGAACTTTATATAAATGACTTGTACGTTTAGTTTCGTTTTTTTACAGCAAATATTGTATTAATACTTGAAGATAAGCGAATAATAATGAGAAAAAACTTCTCTGGCGAGTGTTTATCCTGCAGCCATAAACTTTGTGCTTTATCAAGTGTTGTAGAGCAGATGGATCCAAATACATCCATTACGAACATAATGGCATTTAAACATCTACAGGACTGACGCAACAAAATCAAGACACGTGGTTCCAGCCAGTCAGTCGTGACCATGATTGGTTTTGTGAAACTTAACTTTTAGGAAGAGTTAATTCACCGAATGAGCTTCGGTTAACTTCTTCAATTCTTTTGTCTGGTTGGTTCATCGGGTTGAAAACCTTCAAAATACAAAAAACAGAAGTTATGTAAAGAATAAAACATTAATAAATACTTTAAATTGAACAAATAATCATCCCAATAAGAAATAAGTTAGCGTAGTTACTGTAGCAGTGGCTTTTTTTCAATGTACCATGAGTAGATGTTTTGGTCCTCTCTCTGCTGAGATGTTTGCTTCTGTTCCCTCTTGTTCCCATTTGAAATAATGAGCAGCCTGCACTGGCCTGCTGGTGGTGCATTCTGGGACTTGCAGTTTTTTTTTTGGTGCAAAGTCAATGTGGCTACTGTAAGTCCTTTTTACCTCAACACCTCCCACCTGAGCTCCTGTTTTTTTTACAAATCCAGGGAGGTCGGCGAGGTAGTTAAAGCGCCCCCAGAAGTGCCAGAGGTGTTTTACCGCGATGCCGAGGGCCCTGGATTGTTGACGCGTCGCCCGTTCCATTTCACACAGATGTCAAGTAGCTTCGTGGCGCCGACCTGAATTTTAGCAACCTTAGTTTGAACGGCGATATTTCAGAAGAAGTGTCTGAGCCTGCGAGCTGGACCGATCAATAAACTATAGTGAGGTGTGATGGCGCGACTCTTGAGCCAAAGCCATCTAAGTGTAATGTCTCTAGCTAGTTATTGGAGATATTATGAGAAATTCAACCGACAGGAGTGGAGGGTTTTTTTAAAGCATATTTAGAGGCAGTCGTATTACACCTGCAGTGGTGAGGTCAATATTTATATCTTTTAAAACAATTGGAAACTGTTAAAATTACAAATACAAGTTCTTGAGTACAGACGTATTAGCAAGTCCTGGACTGTCTCTAAAATGCTTTTGGACATGAAGCCAAATCCTTTGCTGTCTCCCTGTCCAGTGGTGGAATGCTTTTTATTTTGCCATCTTTTTTTTTGCAATATTTAATTATTTTAATTGGTCACAGTAGCGAACACGTTGACTGCTTTTAATTCTGCTTTTTTTCTGTCACATTTTCTAATATTATATTTGGATGAAAAACCTTTATCCTCAATGCACTTTGTTACTTTGCAACAATGGCAATCCCCCCTCGTCTTATCTAACAGTGTCACCCTCTGTTCCCTGATTAACGCAACGTTCACTCGATCTCATCTGGTGATGATAAACATCGGCCCCTGCAGCTCTTCCATTACGCTGTCTTTGTTGCCCTTTCCTTGCTCGCTCCCGAGAAGTTGTCGGGGGTTTTTGTCTCAACCTCGTCGCGGTGCCGCAGGGAGTGCCAGCGAAGAAAGAAGCAGCCATGCAGCTTCGATTCCACGGCCGTCCCCGGATTGCCACTGTCAGCGATCCCGGCTCGCAGAAAGCCTCGTCGAGGGACGCACTCCCACGCTGACGCCGGGCATCTGCTGCAGCGCGATAGCCCTTTTAGAGCATTATCACGCAGGGGTATTCTTCTGGAGCATGCTATGAAAGGATTTGTAATAGATGCATAACATGCCAAGCTAAATTACGCCTGTGTGTGTGGATGGAGGGAGGGGGGGGGTTCTCTCTCTCTCCCTCTATCATCTTTGGTATGCAAATGGTGACAGAGGCCAAGTTCTTTTGTGCCTGTAGTTTTTCATTTATGCAACTATGAACCTTGGGTTGAACTTTTGAGAACGACCACCACGTTGGATTGAATATAACGCTCTTTATTGTATACGGTTCTTCTAGATGTAAAAGAGGAAAATGTATACAGATGAACCTCAAAAGAAACTGAATGTGTTTCGTGTCCTTTTAGCCTACAAACGTTGTTTGAAAAAAATCTACTTTTGCATTCATCGAGATCTCCGTCTCAGTGAAATGAAGTCAAATGCAATTTCATGCCAAGTGTAGACATAAGTGGTAGCTTCAGAAACCTCCACAAAATAAAGCTTTGACGGAGACTAACAATATTTTGCTGCAGCATGATTGCAAAGATAATGTTTAAAGTTTTAATTGCTAATTTGAGAAAACAGTTGCCACAGCCACACATTCCCGAATAATTCACACGAGATACAATCTCTAGAGTCCATGTGGAGCCAAAAACCACAGCTGAGCTTGTAAGAGATTTGTTTTTTTTTTTGTTATGGGGACTGTGACAATTTAATAAAAGACCTGGCGGGGAAGTAGCATCACGATCCCGGGGCCGTGACCGTGGCTTCGTGGGGCGTGGAGGCGGCGATGAAATCAGCCAATCTATGACATCGTAGCAGAGTATCGATTTGTTTAAAAGCCGTTCAATCTTTCTCTTCTTCTCAAGAGTTGAAGGGCAGCAACACTTCACGCACGCGTCACAAAGTCGCTTTTCTTTGACCTCTCAGATGCCGGTTCTGTGGGCCCTCGGCGTCTTTGCTTGACCTGCCCTCAAGCGGCGCACGAGCTGAAGCTAATGATGTAACCGCATGCATATGGCTTCTTTCCCCGGTTCGGTTGAAGACGGTGGCTTTTGGGCTAACTGTTTGATATTCACCTCAAACAAGAACTTCCCCCAATCCGCAGCTACTACACTGAACATGCAAGTGGCCGCCTGAGTTTCTCCGGCAGCGACGGGTCGGCTGTGCGCGCTTTCTGACTGCTTGAAAATTCCACCAAGACGTTGGTCCCCGAGGACGAGCTTCATGCAGCGTGTAAACCTGCGCAGCTCCAGCTGTCATTCTGCGGAGTCCTTTGTCCAAGGTCTCTATATCAAATACGTACCACATCCCCTCTCTTCGTGAGTCCGTACGTTTGGGGTCCTTCAACGAACGTCCTCGTAGCCTTTATGAAGATAACATGAAACAGACACACAACGGTTGCACACATGCGATGACTCATTTGACTGCGATGAAGCAGTTTGTCACTGGAGCCCATTCGGAAGTCAGTTTGAATCTAGTTCTATCTAGGTAGTCATAACTAATTATACTTTTGAGACAGTTGTGTGTTGTAAAGGGCTGTGAAGCAAGGTGAAGTTTCATTAAAATTGGAAAAATGACGTTGATGAGGCTGAAAGACTAATCAGTGATTTACACGTCGTATAACCGAGGTTGTTGCAATCACCTTTGCATCGCATTAGTGCTTGATCATCAGATTAATTCTGCCCTACCAAAACACAAGAGCATGACAGTATGGAAAGTCTACTTTTGTGTACGTGTATGGGTGATGCTCACGAAGCGGGGACGCAAAGCTGTTCACAAGTTGTGGTCACTCAAATCATTTGGGAAATCAAGAAAGATTACGTTTGCAGAAGAGTACTTTGCATTACCGTGTTCATTTGCAAGGCCCGAGCCTTTAATGAGTCATTGTAGACACCACGCATACAATAATTTAGTACCGATGGACATTCAAACCTCCTATCAATCCAAAAACCACTCAAGGGTGTTCTGCAGCCCGGCCATTTGCCAGGGTTTTCATCTTGGATGTGGGTCATCCTGCATAATATTACATCATTACAACTCAGTTACCGTATTCAAATATCCGCTGCAATGTCTGCCAGGCATTTAAGCCACTCCTAAAGTCGGAATTACTCTAGCAAAGCCTCCATTGGCCCCACTGCATCCTCTACCGTACCAGAGACCTCCACCTCCTGTAACCAGCCGATACGCAGCCTAATAATGCAATACGAACCCGCCCTGCTGACAGCAGATTAACGGCAGCGTTGGATGAGTGTGGCCCACCGTCATCCTCATCCTGTGCCCTTTAATCGCCCGGGTGGGCTGAACGTCGGTGCTCGGCTGGCCGGTGAACTACATCGGTTGGCTGGATCGTTGGCTGAAGCACGTAAACCGGGTTAAAACCAAACCCCTCAAAATAAGTGATGCAGTGGGCTAATGAGAAATGAATTTCACCATTCCTGTTACAGTTCATCCTCTTTACCGATGCTGAAGTGAGTACGTTGCACCAGTACCGCTCAGACGTCTGCCCGATGTGTGCACTATGAACACTGTGTTTGATTGAGTGAACGATAACCACAACTTGCCTCCCACCCAAACCGCTCGTGCATCCGATGTGTTTTTCCTTTGCACGGCTCCGCGCCGGTTGGGCCTCTCGGTCTCCGAGGCGAAACACCAACGTACATTGTTTATGTAAGACGCGAGTATTTTAAGCACCTGTTTGTCTCCCACT